ATCCAAACATTAACTCCTTTAAAACATATTCCTATCTACACTCAAATTAATCAAGATTCTTAATTATAAGTATAATTAAAAATTTATAAAACTAATTGTTTACTCTTTCATTATAAATATGATTAAATACATCTTATAATGAAATGTATATCAAGTCGGGAGGTTAATCAGTGATTTTTATTTTTTTATTTGAAACTTACAGCTATGGCATTTTGAATATTGAAACTGAATTGGGCCTTCTATAAACCTGGGAGAGGAAATAGTTGTATATGTGTGCAGAAATGTGTACCTGGGCTATGTAGGCCTACTTTCTTCTAGTTATATAATTATGTCTATGCTTAAAAGTTTATAAGTAATATAGATCTTTTTATTTAATTTTTTTCTAAAAATATTTGTTAGGTAGATATCACTGTTTTTCATTTAGTAGCTGTTTCTAGTGGAGTGGTATGAAAATATTTAGCAAAAGAGTAAGTAAATATTACCATTAATCTGGGAAGTACAAGCATGAGCAGCACGAATTATGTACATACAAATAAGATTTCTTGGTCTTGAGGTAAGCAATCTAATAATTTCTTTTTTTTTTTTTTGGTCTTTTTTCCGTGTCCGGCAACGGATTGCAACCCTCAGTGTCGCCCCCGTACCGGACCGGGACCGGCAACGGGATCACAACCCTCGGCGTTGCTCCCGCGCCTCGCTCAGCCAGTGAGCGGGAACTGGTCTGTATGTGGGATCCGAACCCTCGGGCGGGAGCGCCGCCGCGCTTCCCAAGCGGCGCACTATCCAGTGCGCCACCGGGCCGGCCCCTAATAATTTCTTTTGTTAGTTGAAATTGGTCTTCTTGATTTTACATAATCTTCACATTAACAAAACTTCGATTTTTTGAAAATAAAAGGAAATTGCTACAGTATCTCTAAAGCATGCATAGATTAACCAAATGCATGATTAATGCCTTTAATTTTAGAATTTTTATTCTCAAATAGCTTAGAGTTTCTTGGAAAAAGTGAGCTATTTCCTCTATGTTATCAGATTATTTGACTCCACTATAGAAAAATAAGAATAATTTTATATAACTTTTAAAATAAATAAATAATTCGTTTTCTCTAATGGGTTATTTTCTATGAAACATAGATTGCGTTCTTTCAGTGAGATTTACTGTTAGACACATGTTCATATATGTTATAATTATTTCTGACACAGGGTTGCACAAACCAGTTATTTATGAATAATTTACTATTATCTTTATGATATGAAACCTTCAATTTGTTGATATTCTGAATGCAAACCAAACAAATGGAAGTTACTATTAAGTGTTTGTATTGGACATCTGTATACTGTACTTTTTAGCATATTTCAAGTGTTTTAGTCTCTGCCTAATAGATCTCATTAAAAAAACAGATATCAGACCCAAGACAGTTTGTCAAGACTAATATGAGTCCCGCTGGATTGGATTGACAATTTGTGTGAGGCTTTATATGATAGTCTTTTCATAGTCTTATTTGATTCTTAGCAATTGGACATTAGTCACTGATTTATTTTATAATAACTCAGATGAGTTGAATATTATTGTATTGTGTTGGACGTTTTAGTGGATTTTCTTTTTTACAAATTTTACTCAGAGCACACATTGGTTGTAAATGATGTATCCAGCCTGCTAGGGGAGTACTAACAATTGATTGGTTAGGTTTGAGAGCAGCATGGGAAGAATGTTACTATCCCCTAGCTGCAAACCGTATTTAACTCCAGTTTTAATGAAGACTGTCTGTCCTAAAGGCTTTGAAGATCTCAAATATTTAGCATTCCACTGGTATGTTTTTATTTTTTTGTGACTAAAAATGTGGATTTAAATGAGAATTTTATACAAGGGTTATGTCTTAAAAATCTTAATATACAAAAAAGGGATTTTTAAAGAGTTTTAATACAGGTTTTATGATTTATGTTTTTGAATCTCAAAAACAGAGGTTATAAAATATAATCCCAGGATATTATATTTTGAATTATTTTCTGTCTGTATTTTTTTCCCTTAATTTCCTCTGCTTGTCTTTCCCTCTTCTCTCAAGTCTTTAGTAAGTGCATTTATTTATTAATATATATTTTTGATTAGGCAATTGTCATTCACTGATATCAAAACGATGTTGAAGTCCTGAACTGACTTTGTATACTGAAATGATCTCAAGACTTCTTGGAATTCTATTTATTGCCATAGTTCTTTGGGGTCCTTTTTGAAAGTCGTGATATATTGCAAGAAATGCTTGTACCCAACTAATGAAATTTTTAGTATAGTTTTAAAAAAATTATTTAAAGTTTATTTATGAAGATAATGTGTTTATCAACCTCTAGAAAAGATTTTGCCAATAATTCTGTGAATTGCCAGTAATTCTGTGAATTGCTTGTCAGCCCCTTAAGGATTGCCCTATGACAGTATAAGGGGAGGGCTGAACCATGGCATTGTGGTTATCCCTGCATGTGTCTTTGTGGCATAGTATGAGCATACAGTATCTTTCCTTTCAACATTTTTGTTTAAAATTCTGATGTGGTGTGTAAATCTAACCAACTTCACCATTTTGAATGTGCATAAAGAAGTAATTAACCATTAGGAAAACCCACAATTCTTTGTTTGATGACACATAAAGTAAAATAGCCCTAGATTTTAGAGCTTTAATATTGAGAAAATTCATTTGTACTTCATCATTTGCTGAGCCTTCTAGAATTTTATAGTCTCAAATCACAACACCACGGACACTCAGGAGATTCCTGACTGTTTTATTAAACAATTTTGAAATCATTAATTTTTAATTAGCTTGAATGCAGGGTTTTTTTTTTTATTGTTTCAATAGTGTGTGTATTTGAGCTGTTTTTTACTTAAACTGACAAGAGTATCATCTATATAAGTAAGTTCTTTTCTAAGAGTGCATACCGTCAGTTTGCTTCATAAAGTCACACTTTTTTGTAGACTCAGAGATATTACATGCTAATTTATTATAGTAGACCTTTTCAGCAGTTTATTAACTCAAATTTTGAACAGCCACCAAAAAGGATGTAAGCTTGAAGATACGTATAGGTCCTTCCCTGATTGAAAGTTCTAATTAAGTGAATTGGAGAAAATTAACTGAAATTAGCTGTCAGAAAGTCACATTTAAATGAGTGATGAGCTAGTCTGGCAGTAAACATTTAAATGATATAAATTGCCATTTAAGTGTATGGTTTAATGTTTGTCATGCATTAATGTGACATGAGACTCCAGTGACAATCAAGCAGCTTGCTCTAATTTGAACATATTTAGGGCTTTTGTGTGGAGTGCACTGCACACAAATTAAGACAATTGCTGTTTTTATGTGTCGCTTAAGATGTGTCCCCCCACCACACCCCACCCCCATCCCTGCCCAAGGCCTAAGTTAATGAAACAAACGTATCATTTTTGTTTACAACTTGCTTTAGTAGTTCCTGGAATTTTCATTATTTTATATTCATGTACCTACATAGGAATTAAAGTGGTTACAAGCCCTTTTCCTCTTATACCAAATAAAATATGAAGCAGTTTTGTGTTCTCTTATCTGTTTACTAAATTTGTAATTATAACGAATTTTGTAAGAGATGCCTAAAAAAGTAACTTTCACAATCGAAATTAGCCAAATATTTTCTAGGAATATTTTATTTCAGATATACTTAGGAATGTGAAAATAGCTTATAGTTTTATATATAAAATTATATTTTACAATTTATAATTTGTGATATATTGTGAAGTCATGTTAAATGTTATTAAAGAAAATAGGATTTTTTTATTTAGCCATAAACATCTTTCTTATTCATAGGCATTTATTTTAATAAAGCATATATTTACAAAAATGTGCACCTATGAACTAATAGGAATGTCTTTTGCCACTAGATGGTTTATATTTCATTGGTTGCTTACTATAGAAGTTGGTCAATTTTGTTTTAAAACCAACAGATCTCTTATAATATTTATAACATAGCAGCAAGCCACACCAAAAATACATCACAGTCATACGCTAATTACTCTAAAAATAAGAATTAATTTAAAAGAGATACATTACTGGATAGAACTTGTTATACTTTTAATTAAGCTTCAGAGTTTAAGTTTGAGAACTCTTTGATTTTAATAGCATTATTTATTGCTAAATAGTACCCTATTCCATAATGTCAGACTTTTATGTTGGAATAATTTTGAACAATATTAAATAGTAAAGATGAATACCTTCCTAAAAAATATCTCCAGTTCTTAAAACTCTTTAGTATGTACAGTTATTAAGTTCAACAAACATTTATTTGGTGCTATTGTGTTTTAGGCACAATGCTAGTAACTGGGAATATCATGATGAATAAGAAGTGGGTCTTGTGCCACTGAATACTTGATTATGTTCATTCATTATTTATTGGACACTATTATGTTAATAGCATCAAATATTTGGTCTAGTTTGATATTAATATGTAAAATAATAATTCACTAATTATAAGTATTTCCCCACAAGATCTAATTTGTTAGTGTAAAGACTCGATCAGAATAACTAAACAATTTGGTTACAGTTGTTGTAGTAGATAATAAAATATTTTAATTCTAGAAAAATTAGAAATATTTCAAGTGGATAGTAAATTTTTAATGTTTTCACATTTGCTTTCCCAAAGTAGCCTTTGCAATGTATGACCTCCTTTTTTTAAAGCATAAATTGAGAAACTCTCAGGCCAGAGTTATAAAGTGACCAAGACAGGCCCAGTCCTGGTCCTTACAATGCGTACAGTATGGTAGAAGAGTGCTGAAACTTAAGCAATTACACAATTCAGCATGACAAGTGCCAGAAGGTCTCTAATTATAAACAAAGGAGAACAGATCCTGATAGAAAATAGGACATCAGAATAAGTTTAATTTTTTAAAGTCTCTGTTCACAGTAAATTTAGTGGTAAACTTAGCAGCTTGTTCTAAATATCTCTCTATATTTTAAAAATATAATTCATCATGATGATATGATCTATACCTTTTTTTTCAGGCCCTGGAGAGTGAATTTGTTTCCTGCCAGCTTCACCAATGGATTGATCTTATTTTTGGCTATAAACAGCAGGGACCAGAGGCTGTCCGAGCCCTCAATGTGTTCTATTACCTGACCTATGAAGGAGCTGTCAATCTGAATTCAATAACTGATCCTGTGTTGAGAGAGGTAAGTTATCTGACTGAGACAGAAACATATAATTATATATCTTTAAACTGAAAGGTACTAGATTTCATCTTCCTCATCCTTTCATTTTACTGATGAAGAAACTGAAACCAGATGGGTAAAGTGATTTAAGCATTATAACCTATCAGTTAGTGACCCAGATGGGACTTGAACCCATGGCTTCCCTCCAACAAAATGTTTTGACTCCATATAAAATGAGAGCTTTTCAATTTGAACTGTTAAGGTGTCAATTATCGTATTTACAATTTTTATAACTTTGGAGGCTACTCACATGATTTAAAATGTTAGGAAAATAGTAACTAATTTATTAAAGAAATATGATTATAAGCATAAATTTAAGTAAGACATATTTATATGCAAATGCGTAAGTACATGTATAACCATATAGAAGTTAATAGTGGGATTTAAGTCTGAAACTTTCCTACATCATCAAATTTGGTGTTAGATGTTATTGAGAATTGTTTTATCTTTGTCATTTATAAACACTCCAGACATGATAAACAAACATGGTAAAACACTCCAAATATGGCCCAGCAAATACAGTATTCACCAAAAAGTTTGTAGAAGGCTTTTTAAAAAATATTTCTAATCTAATTATGTATCCTCCTAACTCTAACATATCTCATATGAAAAATTATAGAATTGAACAGATACAATCTTAAATATGTATTCTATTTGGGAATAGAACTATATTTAAGAAACCAGGGGCTTTGATTCATAGGAAAATTTGTGTATCATTTTGAAGGGAATGTTATTTGTGATGTGCACAGTCTGTCATTTTTCACCAGCACTTGATGCATTCCTTTATAGTTTTACTTATGACCTGATCATGTTGAAAGTATGTAAGTACATATTTAAATAATTGGCATATTATCACCTGGCTTATGTGCTAGACAAAACTTAGTACAGAAACAAAAGCACTCTGTATTAAGTGTACATATACCTTAAATTGCACAAGTTTTGAATTGCTGTTTTTCTGTTTTAAAAACTGTGTAGGCAGAGAGCTGGGTCAGATGAACTCTTAAATATTATTTTTATTATTATTATTTTTTTTGGTGTCTGGCTGGTACAGGGATCCGAACCCATGAACTTGGTGTTACCAGGGCCAGTCCCGAACTCTTAAAGACTCTTCCAGTTTTTCAGTTCTTTCTTTGAAAATATTCCTTCTGGGGCCATTTTATTTTATTAGAGCAACAATTGACTTCATGACACAGAAAATATATAGAATTCTGTAAATGAAATTGATGTTAGAGCAACATGCAAGTGGTGTTACAAAACAGTATATAACTTCATTGTTAGAATAGACTAGCATAGGCTTATTTGCCTTCTTTTTTATTGTTTTAGCAATATTTGAACATTGCTACTTTATTAAATGTCCATAATTCTTCAATATGCCACCTGTTTTTGTTTATGTCCCCTTGTAGTCATTATCCATATCACTACATAGCTGATGTATAACTGAATTCACACTTCAGAACTGATTTTATAATTTCCTGTTTTACTTAACGTACCAGCTTATTTTTTAGGTTGTTTTATATAATCTGTAGTTTTAATTTTGAAATTCCATAACATTCTATAGAGTTGCTATGAAAATGTACTTAACGTGATTTCTCCCAATATGGTATCCTATTTTTTTTTAATAGATTATTTCTTGATGTATAAGATGATGTAACTAGTTTTACCTTTTCTACCTTTGACTTCATTAAGTTTATGCAGCATTTTACATGATAAAGATGGCACTCAGCCTATATTTGCTTGTCAGGGCTAGTTAAAAAGTAAAGTATTCAATCAGCAGGTTGTTTCCTCTGCAAGTTGCTTAACGTGGTTGGCTCTTTGTGTTTATTCCGGATTGACCACCCTCCCTACATACACACCAATGATTACCAAAGAAGTTTACTGTATACTGTTTACAGTATAGTCCAGAAGAGCACTGTCCAGTAGTACTTCCTACACTGATGAAAATATTCTGTATCCCCAGTGTCCAGTATTGTAGCCACAAACCACATGTTGTTAGTGTGCATTTGAAATGTGGCTCATGTACTGAGGAACTGAATGTTTTATTTTAGTTAATTTAAATTTAAATAGGCACATATGAGTAGTGGTTACAGTATTGGACAGTGAAGATCTGGAAAACTGTCATATATGTCTTTTGTGACCATGTTTTCTGACTCTGATTTGAGAGCATGTGATCAAATAATGGGACAACAAATGTTTGTTAAGTTAACTTAGTAGGATATTTGAAATTGGGCATACTCCATTAGACATTGGATATTTAGTTATAATATAGATGCGAACTAAATTATATTTTCTCTTTTACCTAAACTAACACATTATAACTTCAAATAAGGTTTTTTTGTGGTGGTAAAATAAATGTACATGACATAAAATTGATCATTTTTATCATTTTTAAGTGGCATTAAGAACATACACATTGTTTTACAATCATAATGACCATCCATCTCCAGAAATTTTTTGTCTTTGCAAACTGAAACATTCTATGCAGTAAGCAATAACTCCCCATTTCCTCCTCCTCCTTTAGTCCCTGACAACCACCAATCTACTTTTTGTCTCTATGAATTTGACTACTCTGGGTACCTCCTATAAATGGAATCGCAGAATATTTGTCCTTTTGTGTCTGGTTTATTTTATTTAGCATATCTTCAAGGTTCATCTGTGTTGTAACATGTGTCAGTTTCCTTATTCAGGCTGAATAATATTCTATTGTATGTATATACCACATTTTGTTTTTCCATTAGTTCATTGGGAGGCATTTTGGGTTGTTTCCATCTTTTGGCTGTTGTAAATAATGCTGCTGTGAACACTGATGTACAAATGCTTGTTCAAGTCCCTGCTTTCAGTTTTTTTGTGTGTATATACCCAGAAGTGGAATTGCTGGATTATATGATAATTCCATGTTTAAGTTTTTGAGGAACCACCGTACCAAATAAGTTTTTAATATTTATTTTTCATGGTCATTTGCTAAAGAGTACTTAAAACTTTTACTTTGAGTTTCTTTGACTTTCTTTTCTTCCCACACAACCCCAAGTAGTTAATTGTCATAAAATTAAGCCTTAACTGGATAATTTTCCACTCATCATAGTCTAATTCATTTTTACATTATATAGGGATATATGAATAATATATATTGTAATTGGATTAGATTAGCATTAGATTTAGCATTCATTAAATAAATGTGACCTGTGATGTTCTAAGTATGGTAGATACTTGATCTTTTTTGGGGGGGGGTGTGGCTGGCTTCACTATGGGGAACAGAACCCTTGACCTTGGTGTTACAAGGCTGTGTTCTAACCAACTGCACTAACCATCCAGCAGTATTTGTTCTTTTCTTGAAATGAGAATACATTGCTTACTTAGCACTATTAATATAAATATACATGCTTAATTCACAAAGCTTTCTAAGTGTTATTAAAATAAATATAATAATCTTTTTTGAAAGCTATTCCATACCAGTGCTAAATCTTGTGGCAAAATGTAGTGTAATACAGTAGAATAAATAAACAAACAATAAATGTGGATTTAATTCCTGGCTGTGATACCTACTAGTTGTGTGACTTGGATCTTCCTCACACCTGTTTCTTCGCATACAGAATAGGTATTTCAAAAAAAAAAAAAGAACAGAACTGTGGTTAATAGAGGTGGGAAAGGGTGAGGGGAAGGGAGGTTAGTGAGAAATTAGGGGTTACAAAGATTGGTTATGTTTTGTAAGCATGAGTATACTAATTATCCTGGTTTGATCACCACATATTGTACATGTGTATTGATATTCAAATCTGTACCCTACAAATATATATAATTATATATATCAACTAAAAAACTGTCAAAAAAAAAGAAAAGAATTGGTACGATAATGCCCATCTTATAGAGGTTTTGATGAGGTATAATGCATTTGAAGTGCCTGGCATGGTGTCTGTCCCATCATAAGAACGCAGCAAGTATTAGTTCCTTCTCTTATTTTGTTCCCAGTTAAGTCCCTGGGTTAGAAAACCCAACTGTAAAAGGAATATGAACTACTTATTATGTCATAGAAAGAATCATAAAATGTTAATGTTAGATAAGTTATTAGAGATAATTTCGTACAGGACACATGCAGAGTTCATTGTTAAGTGAGGCAAGAAGAAAGCGGAAAACAAGAATAGGTCATTAATTTACTCATTTTTCTCAACAACCTTTTACTGAACCCAAATTGTGTAACCCAAAACAGTTAAACAGATAGAACTGAAAAGTATCTGTTGGCTTTTTCTGAGGTATGTCATTGGTGATCTTAGAGAAATTAGCTTAGAAGGTAGATTGTGCTGTGAATGGGAGGTGATGAAGTAAATATGGTGAATAGAGAAAAATAATGTAAGGGAGACTCTTTTAATAGCTTTTTTGAGATATAGTTCACCTATAATACAATCCACACAATACAGCAGTTTTTAGTATATTCACAAAGTTGTACACGCATCACCACAATCTAATTTAAGAACATTTTCATCACCACAAGAAGAAATCCTTGTACCCATTTGCAGTTACACTAACGGAGATCTCCCCCCCCCCCCAATGGGTAGATAGTTGACCATGTTTCTGTGTTAACTGGAAAGATCCAAAAAGAGGGAAGCATGTCAGAAATACAGGAGAGAAAGCTGGTGATAGACTCTCAAGCTCAATGAGAAAGTGGAAGGTAACAAAACCCAGAGCACAGACAGAGATAAGCACTGGACAGGAGAGGAACAATACTGCCTCATCGGAGACTGGAGAAAGAATGTTAGCACGGGGACTTGTATAAGTGAAAGTGTATGAACGAGGTGGAAAGGCAACAAGATCGCCTACTATTTGGAAAAAGCTCCATTCCTCTTGAGAAATTTTCTATACTAGATGAATGGTTAATACATATGGCATAGTAAGTGATCATAAAAGTAATCTCTCTATAAAAAGAACACTAAACGATGGAAATAATGACCATAAGAGGTGGAAGAGTAATC